CTCAGCACCAGCAGGAACTCCACCAGCCGGGTCCTCAGCACCAGCAGCAGCTCCACCAGTCGGGTCCGCAGCACCAGCAGCAGCTCCAACGTCCGGGTCCGCAGCACCAGGAGCACCACTCCGAAGACTGCAGCGCCTCGTGTACCACTCTCGGATCTGCTGGAGGGGGGGGAGCTCCCGGGCAGGAGGGGAAGCACCGCGACCAGCTCCAGCAGTACCTCTCCGGAGGCGGCAGTACTCGAGGTACCTCTCCTGCAGCCGCTGTGAGGAGAGGGCTCCTCCAGGTGTAGTACCCCCAGACTCAGCACCCCAAGGCTCCGCACCCGCAGACTCAGCACCCTCAGGCGCACTACCCCCAGGCTCGGCACCCCCAGGCTCCGCACCCCCAGACTCACGCACGGGCGGTAGCTGGCGACGGGCGACAGCAGCAGCGGGCGCGACAGTAGGAGCTGCAGCGGCGCACGACCGCACGGCAACGGCAGCGGCGCACGAGCGGCAGCGGCAGCGGCAGCAGCGTCAGCGAGCGCACAAGTGCGCGGGCAGCGGGCGGGCAGCGCGCGAGCAGCTTGCGGGCCGCGCGCGAAGAATCGGCTGCGTGCGGGCGGCTAGCGGGTCGCCCGCGAAAAATCGGCCGCGCGCGGGCAGCTAGCGGGTCGCGCGCGGTTAAAAAACGAGCCGCGCGCGGGTGGCTAGCGGGCTGCGCGCGCGCGGTAGGTAGAAGGCGCACGAGGGCGCACGGTAGGTAGGTAGGTAGGTAGGTAGGTAGGTAGGTAGGTAGGTAACGGTGGGCCCTAAAACGGTCCTAGTGAAGGACCTGCTCTGATACCATGTCAGAATGAACGGACAGGAATGAATGAACTAGCAGTGAAATGAGTACAATTGCCTAACCCTAGAATTGTGTACCCCCTATAGGCTAACCCACTGTAGCCTAAACAACCACAACATATATAATGTTTGACACGTTTGGTGGCATGAATCTGTGCAAGGATAGGCCAGTACGCAACATGTCACCGTTTCGTCGTCTATATGTTGTTTTTAGCCCTATTTCTTCACACAGTTCCCTAGTTCATCCATGTCCCTAGCCACAGGAATTGGTTTGGGTTCATTCGCACAACTACGCAGCACGTGACGCTTGTTTGTGCGTTTGATGGCCTGAATCTGTGCAAGCATAGGCCAGTACGCAACATGTCACCGTTTCGTCGTTATATGTTGATTTAAGCCCTATTTCTTCACCGAGTTCCATAGTTTATCCATTTCCCTAGCCACAGGAACTGGTTTGGGTTCATTCGCACAACTATGCAGCACGTGACGCTTGTTTGTGCGTTTGATGGCCTGAATCTGTGCAAGGATAGGCCAGTACGCAACATGTCACCGTTTCGTCATCTATATGTTTTTTCTAAGCCAATTTCTTCACATAATTCCCTAGTTTATCCATTTCCCTAGCCACAGGAACTGGTTTGAGTTCATTCGCACAACTACGCAGCACGTGACGCTTGTTTGTGCATTTGATGGCCTGAATCTGTGGAAGGATAGGCCAGTACGCAACATGTCACCGTTTCGTCGTCTATATGTTTTTTTTAGCCCTATTTCTTCACACAATTCCCTAGTTTATCTATTTCCCTAGCCACAGGAACTGGTTTGAGTTCATTCGCACAACTACGCAGCACGTGACGCTTGTTTGTGCATTTGATGGCCTGAATCTGTGCAAGGATAGGCCAGTACGCAACATGTCACCGTTTCGTCACCTATATGTTTTTTTTAGCCCTATTTATTCACACAGTTCCATATTTTATCCATTTCCCTAGCCATAGGAACTGGTTTGAGTTCATTCACACAACTACGCAGCACGTGACGCTTGTTTGTGCGTTCGATGGCCTGAAACTGTGCAAGGATAGGCCAGTACGCAACATGTCACCGTTTCATCGTTTTGTTGTTTCTTTGAGCATCGTTTCTTCACACATCCATAGATTTAAACCAACTACCTTGCCATAGGAACTAGTTTGAGCTCATTCGCACAACTACCCAGCCCGTGACGCTTGTTTGTGCATGGGTTGGGGCGAACCAGGCAATGTTGTCGAAATTTCATGCAGGCTAGTGAAACAACCGAACATATGGATGCAGGCTGCCACCATAGTAGGTCATAGACACAGCAACTACTTCTAATTACACAAAAAACATGCTTGAAATTAGCACATGTCTATGATAGCCTGAGAATGAGTTGTTAGGTGCTAGAAGCTTCGATGATGTAGCTTGTATCTTGGCTTTGGTAAATTTCACCCAAAATAACTTTCCAGTCCAGAACAGTAGAGGAGGTATAGGGGAGATAATAGAGCCATCAAACTTATGATTTGGACTACAAACCAAGTGGTTATCAACCTTAATAGGTATTGAAATAGGCGGGCATTTGGAGCCACAAACCACTTTTAAATGTGTTTTTTGCAATTCTTTCGGTTGTAGTTGTTAGAATAGTAGCCTAAGTAGACTAGGGTTTTGGGGTAAGAGAGTAGCGAGAGAAACGGAAGAAGAGGGCTTACACTAATGAGCAAGATACATGATATAGTTCAAGGGAAGGTGAGCACAGTGGTGCACCACCAAATAGTTAAGAACAATAACTGCAGTAACTACAGCACGCAGGATATATATTAAACATAACTTTGACAGTAGTATGGTAAAGGATACCTAAATCAATCTAGAAAAAAAAAAACCACCAACTTAGAAAGTCCCAACACTTTGCAATATGGCATGTCTATGAGACACTTTCTGAAATGTAATCTGTGTGAAAGCACACAAAGTTGTACATAATGACTGTTCAGCTTGTTCTGACCACATCTCTACACGATCCCCTTTGGCGACTTACGTTTTGTAAGGTTACACTTGGCAGCTGTCCCGGCAAATATATTTGCAGCCAATCCTTGCTCACGCTTTTGACACCCTAGCTGATGCATATCCTTCTCTTGCGATATGAGAGGTGGCGGCGGTTGAGCCATCGTTGCTGCGTTGGAAAGTGAAGTGCCCTGGTTGGTGCTCCGCTGGTGCATGAATCATAATCTTCACAAGTTGGTGCTTCGCTGGCGCACCAGCACAACCACCCAGTTTCTCACCGCCTCGCTGGAGCACTACCACCCAGTTTCTCACCGCCTCGATTGAGCACAACTACCCAGTTTCTCGCTCCCCTTACTTAGAGAGAACTTCAGCTCTCCCTTTCGTGAGCAGCTAATTTCTTTTCTGCGATATCTTCGTTTCTGTTGTCAGCGCCAGGGCCAGCGCCAGCGCCAGGGCCAGCGCCAGCGGCAGTCGCAGCAGCAGCCATAGTGACTGGTGCGTTATCTATTCGCGCTCACCTTCTGCGTACCTTCGACCCTTTCTTTTGTCTCACTCTAATCTACTCGCGATTACCTTCGTTGCAGGGAAACATCCGTCTTTTGGAAGTCGTCATTAGTAGGTAAGGCTTGCGATGACCGTGATATTTACTTAATTGTCACCCAATGCTGCACGGTATCCTGCATTTTCCTTATACTTATGTCTCTTCTCTTGACTTCTCCTGCACGTTTCTGTCTCCCTCTACTTTACAGGAAAAAATGACGTCTCACTGGCGTCTCATCCCGTGGTTTGCCTGAGTTGTGCTAATCGTGTGTTCTTTTGCAGGTTGCGTAATTATGACCGCTTCCGCACCACTGGTGGTTGCCCCTTTTTGTGGTTGCTACTCACAACGTTATGTCTGACCCAGATGCTTTGCACTGATGCTAAGGCTAGTTAATTGTCAGTAACTGCTCTGTCTTTTTATTATCGTATGTTTGCAGGTTCTGTATCTGTATGCTTCGTATCCTATGCCGGATTGTGCACGTACTGAGTGCTGTTTTTTCGGAATGCAGGATTTATGCTTGGTCGTTGTTTATTCTAGGTTGTGTGATGTATTTAACCCTGTATGTTGAACGTCACTACATAATTCGTCATGTCTTGCCGTGTATATGACACAGACCCATAAACGTAGTATATCCATTGGATTTAATATACAGTTAATTAATAATTATCACGTTCAAATCGAGAGTACATATCAAAACTATATCCGACCACGGTTCCGGATGTAACAGAAATATGCATACTGTAACAGTTACATTCGGTAACCACGGAATTACTGTAGTGCGGCCTCACCCGAAGAATGTCGAGTCACCCTATGGCGAGCAGTCTTACTTTGCGTCAACCCGGAACTCTTTTTCCGCAATTGGGTGTGTACAGTTTCTGCGCGCTTTGGGAAATATCGAGTTCGATTGTGGAGGGAAAAGCAGGGGTTGGGAATGATGCCGCGTGGGATGACGAATTCAAGCTGCAGGTGACACGCTGTAAGTGTGTATTGCAATACGCCAATCCCAGGCATCCCAAAAATTGCCCCAGCGATGTCATTCAAACCTCAAGGGAATGGATGGCATCTGGATTGACACACACGTATAGGTTCCGATGTCATATCTGCCTGCTCGCCCCCACAGTCTACCAGCGCGATTTTTTCCTAACGCGTGCACGTCGAGCGCCTTGGGCGCATGGCAGCGGCGGCGATAGCAGGGCAAGTACAAAGAGCGGCCTCGCTGGACGCATTCGTCAGCGCTGCCTCTCAGCCTTCCCGCATTCGCCTCCGTCCTTGCATTCGACTTGCATTCAAGTCGAAACAAGGTTCCATTCGTTGCACCTGCGACACTCCATTTTTTTCGTTTTTTTCTAGTTGCTCGCTACTATTTCAGCAATCCGCGCCGCCCGCCATGATGGCGCCTCGCCTCGCGTCGTCCCGCGTCGTCCCCGCCCTCGCGCTCGTCGCGCTCCTTTGCTTAGCGGTCGTCGATCACGCCGCGTGCAGCGCGCGCTCGCTCGGCCTTCCGCGTTTCGCGGGGAGGTTCGGCGGGTTGGTGGGGGGATCGGGAACAGGCGGCAGCTGGTCCTTCTTCCGGGCCCCCTGGGCCGGCGGCGGGCAGAGCGGGCAGGGCGGGTTTGGCTCGCAAGGAAGTGGCGGGATGAGCGGACAACCAGGTAGTGTGGGCGGAGGGGGTATCGGCGGAGGCGGAATGGGCGGAGGAAGTATGGGCGGAGGGAGCATGAGCGGAGGGGGAATGGGCGGGGGAGGGATGGGTGGTGGAGGTATGGGCGGAGGAGGCATGAGCGGAGGAAGCATGGGCGGAGGAAACATGGGTGCAGGGGGAATGGGCGGCGGAGGGATGGGTGGCGGAGGAAACATGGGCGGAGGGGGCATGGGAGGCGGGGTAGGCATGGGCGGAGGAGGCATGGGCGGAGGAGGCATGGGCGGAGGAAGCATGGGCGGAGGAAGCATGGGCGGAGGAATCATGGGCGGAGGAAGCATGGGCGGGGGAAGCATGGGCGCAGAGGGAATGGGTGGCGGAGGAAACATGGGCGGAGGGGGCATGGGCGGAGGAAGCATGGGCGGAGGAGGAGGCATGGGGGGTGGGAGTGGGTCATCGGGTGGGAGTGCGTGTGGCAACAGCAGCAGCAGCAGGAGCGCCAAGCTCACGAGCAGCAATGGCAAGAGGTGCGCCCCTTTCCTCTGCCACTCTGCACGCCCGCTCAAGCCATTTCGTCCGCTCATGTCTGTACTTATGCCCCCCCCTTCCTCCTTTCCCTCGCCCTAGCCCTCCTGCCTTGTTCGCCCTGCCCTGTCCCCCCCGCCCTGCTTTCCCTGGCCCTATTCCCTCCCCTGTGAGTGCAGGGTGATGGCGAGCAACGGGTGTCCAGAGTACGCATGGCGGGTGCAGGCCACGCTGTACGCGCCACTGCAGCAGCAACTCTCCTTCTCTGTGCCGCTCGCCCCCACGCTCGCCTCCTCCCCCACTCCCGTCGCCCTCAACGGCACCTGCAAGATGGGGCCCATCGGCTTCGCCCTCAACGGCGTGCCCTTCTACAGGTGACGAGGAGGGGGGGAGCAGAGGGGTACGGGGTAGAAGGGGGGTTGGACCGCTGTGCTGTGGGGGCAGCATGGAAGATGGATCAGCGGGGTCATGGTGTGGTTTGGGGGAGAGGTTAGGGGCAGGAGGGGGGTACCGGCGTGACAAGGACTTGGGGTTTGGCCTGCTCGAATTTGATTCCTTACTGTGCCACCCCCATTCTGCTCTTCTGCTTACTTGGCTGCACCTTCCACCTGCCACCGCACGCCCTCCTGCCCGCATCACTCTCCCTGCACACCGCACGCCCTCATATCCCACACCCGTCTCTCCCTCTCCCTCCCCCTCGCCCCCTGGCAGCGCGTGTGACGCGCTGGGTCGGGTCTCCCGCATCGCTCCTCCCCGTGCCTCATTCTCCTTCTCGCCCATATCGTCCCTGCCCGTCTCTCCCTCTCCCCCTTGGCAGTGCGTGTGACGCGCTGGGTCGGGACGCGCTGCAGTACGAGGGGGCCACGTTTGACGCGTGTGGGGGGCACCCCACGCCCTCGGGCCAGTACCACTATCACGTCGCTCCCGGCCTCGCCAACCCCTCTGCCATCTCCTCCTCTCGCTCCACCAGCTTCAAGCTCTGCAAGTGCGCTCCCCCGTTCCCCCGTTTCCCTGCTTCCTTGTTCTCCTGCTCCCCCGTTCTCCACCTGCAACCTCTGCTCGTTCCAAAGCCATCCATGTTCCATGCGCCATCCACTGCCATCCACTGCCATCCACTGCCATCCACTGCCATCCACTGCCATCCACTGCCATCCACTGCCATCCACTGCCATCCACTGCCATCCACTGCCATCCACTGCCATCCACTGCCATCCACTGCCATCCACTGCCATCCACTGCCATCCACTGCCATCCACTGCCATCCACTGCCATCCACTGCCATCCACTGCCATCCACTGCCATCCACTGCCATCCACTGCCTCATGCCATTCATCTCGTAGCATTCCACGCATCCTCACTCCTCTCCCTCCTCCCCTCCCCCCCCCCCCCCCCACCCCCTTGGCAGTGCGTCCTTCTGGCAGGACGTGCCGGGGCAGCACTCGCCGCTGCTGGGCTTCCTGGCAGACGGCATTCCACTGTTCGGCCCGCGCGGAGCGGGGGGAGCGCTGCCGGCAGGGCTGGACGAGTGTGGGGGGCACGTGGGCGACGGCAGGGGGGGCGAGCCGGCGTTCTACCACTACCACGCCAGCTCCACCGCGCTCTACACCGTCGCCTGCCTCAAGGGCTGCGTGTCTTCTTCTGACTGGGGCACCCTCGGCTCCGCCTCCTGCAGCAACGCCTCCAGTGAGTGCCTGGGGGGACGTCTGTTGGTTGTCGGCTTTGAGTGGCGAGGGCTGTGAGTGTCAAGGGCTGTGAGTGGTGAGGTCTGTAAGTGTGTGCAGCTGGTACGTTGTTGTACGTGTGACCCTTGAGTCCTCTAATCTCCTGTGCTCTCCTCTCTTTGCCTCGCCTCTCCTCTCCTCTCTTCGCCCATCCCTTCTGTCCTTTCATCTCCTTTCCTCACCTGTTCTCTCCTCTCCTCTCCTCGTCTTTCCTCTACTTTCATCTCCTCTCCTCGCCTCTCCCCGCTCCTCACTCAGTATTATCTGCTCATCCATCCTCTCCCTCCTAAATCCCACTCGATGGCACACATCAGAGCAATACGACTACTCGTCGCTGGCAGCAGTGCAGGCAGCATGACTCCGCTGCCACCACACCAGCCGCCTCCGCTCCACTCCTTGGGCTGCTGCTGCCCGCTCCGTGCCAGCTGTTGCCCTTCTAGATGTGGGGCAGCTTAGGGTAGCACATTGTTACACGGGCAAGTCGTTGTTGTGCCGAAGGATGTGTTCCTACCCCGTATCAGTCACCACGTGGCTCTGATTGGCCATATCAAGGCCTGTATGCGGTGGTTGGCACGATGTAGGAACGCAACCTGCATGAGGACTGCTGTGCTGCCTGTGTTTGTGTGCTTTGTGATTCTCATCTCCGTAAACAAATTCCCAATCAACCATGATGTCCCGGATAGTAGACAAGACTTTGCCAGAGAGTGAAGAAAGGGACTACAATGAGGGAAAAAGGTTGGGATATGTACGGTAGCAAGCACGACCCAATCTACCGTAGCTCACAAAAACACATGCCATATACCGTATTCTCCTAGATAAAACACCCTAGGGTATTATGAAAACCACTGGGAAAAAAGGGGGGGTGGGGGTCTCCTCAACGGAAAATACCCGGGTCTTATTATATGGTACATTTTTTATAAAGCAGAAAAGATGTGAAACAAAATCAGAAGTCTGACTTCACTTCAATAGTGCTGATCAGTTCCGCAAAACCGAGTATACGAGGATAACGTGACCGCCCACTAGAATCTGCTGTTGGAAACAGTGAATCTTAAGCGCTTCAGTCGTGTCGAAACATCGCACCAGAAGCGAAGCAAGCTGTATCGAAACAAACGCGAGTCAACCTTCGGAGGTTGAGAAGTTGCCGGAGGTTACGCGAAAGTCAAAGGTCAAGCGACCTTTGACCTGACAAATACAGCGCGACAGTTAAGGACACACAACTGACTCGTTACAGAGCAGTTGCCCGAGTCGTACTGTATCGAACCGCAACAGCAACAGTAAAGTAGTTACAAACTGCATCCTTTCATATTCCTTGTATTATTATATAATCTTGTACTTCCTTGCTATAATCAATCTACTTTGCCCTCATATACCAGCGCAAGGTGGTTCACAAACTTTGTTAAACGCTTCCGCTATTACAACACTATCCCACCCAGAGTTCTCCCTTGAAAAGATCCTAAGGGGCTATCTCAGCCCAACATGGTATCAGAGCAAACAGGGGAAACTCTACTACCTTCAAATCATTACAAGACATGGCAACAAGCAAGGAAAGGAGCTCATCTAACGGCTCCCCAGGCACTACTCCTACTCCACCTCCTGCCTCTGGCCTGCAGACAGAGGAAGGCACGGCAACAAGACCAAGAATGACATCTACTGAGACTCCCGCAAATCACCCCGCGAACTTCGACCCGAGTATAATGGAGAAGTTCTTCTCCTTCATGTCCTTCTACGAGCAGCACCAGCAGTCGGGACCTGCACAATCACACAACAGCAACAACAACGGAGCGACACCCATGAGCCTCGACGGGTCGTCATATGCGCGCGGAAACCAACAACAGCAACCTACCTTCGCCCCGTACGAGCGCGGGTCGATCAGCTTCATGCCGCAATCTTCACCTGCACAAGACAAGCCACTGGACGCGTTACAAGTGCAATCACAGTTCGCGCACGTTCTAAAACTGCAGACATCAAGACCTTTCGACGGAAAGGACTTCTTCACTTGGTCATTCGAGTTTGAGTTAATGATGGAAGGCGCGCAGATACTCGGCTTCTTCGACGGGTCCCTGCAATATCCAGCAAACGGCACACAGTATGAGAAGCAGCAGTACACGTATCAATCGATGATGGCGTATACGATTCTGCTGAGGAACGTCACACCAACTCAGCAGCAGAACATACGCTCTTACCGGGGTTACGGCAACTCCGCTGAGCTCGCGTACAGCCACCTGAAGAGCCTGTATCAAGCAACAGACAGCGTAAACCAAAGCAAGTTAATGGCGCAGTTGACAACAGTTGAAATGAAACCGGGAGAAAAGGGGATGACGTATATCAGCCGATGTCGCGAACTGCGCGACAAGCTTCTTCGATGCGGAGGATCGATCTCCGAGGACGCCTTCGTGACGGTCATCATTGGTGGTCTCGGTCCTCAATGGCGCGCCACCAAAGCCATTCTTCGAGCCCACGGGAGAATCTCTGAAGCAGCACTCTGCGCCGAAATCCACGCCGAGCAGCAGGACATGGACCTGCAAGAAGAACGACACAGGAAGAAGACAACAGCATCAGAATTTGCCTTCCACACTCAGCGACGTTACAACAACTACAACAACCAACAGCAGCAACCGAAGCCAGTACCTCCCTTTTGCCACATCTGCAAAACCTCAGGGCACCCGCGCACACATTGCCCAAACCGTCAACAGTCAACAACTCCGCAGCGGCATCTACGGCCTTCAAGCAATCAAGTTGCGTCAACACAGGCGAACCCGACGACTCAAATTCAAGCTTCAACGACCTCAACGGGACAACCTGCACAAGAAACAAGAAATATCGTTAGCTGCATGGCAAGACTGAGTGACTCTTGCGTCACGGAATCACCACCATACTACTCACCAGAAGAACAGCTCGATGAAACGACACCTCGCCGCGAAGCACTTCAACCGAATCCAACCTACGCAGCCATCGCCCAAAACGAGCCATCCGGAAAGGACACGTGGTTCTTGGACAGTTGCTGCGGGCAACACATGTGTTCTTCAGGACGCTTCGTGCAGCGAGAGTACCAGCTTCAACGGGAAGTTGTCATCACCGTCGCCAACAATCAGAACCTGCGCACACGACGACAAGGAGTTGTTCAACTTCAGTCACGAGAGACAAATGTTATTCTGCAGATGTCCAAGGTCCTAATCGCAGAGGGCTTGGGCTACAACTTACTGAGCGTCAGTCAGTTGATGGCGAAAGGCATTCACCTTGAAGCAGACAGCACAACTCAAGAGTTCAAGCTGTACCACGGAAGGGGAGGTCTCTACATCGGGAAGGCGGTCCTCAAGAACAACGTCTTCGTTCTCGACTTCGTTCCCGATCTTGGCACGGCCGACAGCGACGCCATCGTAAACTTCACCAACTGGACACATCCTCCAGATCTTGATCCAGACTTCAGTCCGAGCGGTTTCTGGTACTCGCACACCATTCATGAAACAGAGAGAACAAGGGCGTTAGCGACAATTCAGCAGTCGGCAGCAGCAGAGACAACATCAGCAGCAGCAGAGACAACATCGGCAGCAGCACAGACAACATCAGGAGCAGGAGAAACAACATCGACAGCAGCACCGACAACAGCAGCAGCAGCAGAAACATTAACACCAGTCACCGGTCCCTCAACGGCACAGCCCTTCATCAACGAGACGCCGCCGACACCGGCGCAGCAGCTCAACCCGGCACCACGGGAAGTTCACAGAAGCGCGAACATCATCGCCGGCTTCTACTCCAACTCCGACATGTACCGACGCTCGCCAGGACACCGCGCCAACGAAGAAACCTGGCACGCAAGAATGGGACACCCAAGCAACACAGTATTAAACAACACGATAAGAGCTGGAGTACTTGACAAGGATTCACTCTTACTGACCGACGGCAGAGAACTTCAGCGAGCTCGAGGAACGTGCTTCACCTGCCCCGAAGCTGACTTACCGCATCAGCCCTTCGTTTCGCATCACAACCCAAGCGCACCTGCATATGCACCACTCGAGAAAGTGTACAGCGACATCTTGTACAACCGCGAACCCGGACAAAACGCGTATAACTACACCATCACCTTCATCGACGCCGCTACACGTTACGTCTGGCACCTAAACTTACCAAGTCGCGACATGGCTTTCGAGGCTTTCGTGGCATGGCTTCCAGCAGCAGAACGGGAATCGGGAGCTAAGCTCAAAAGTTTCCAATCAGACGGAGGAGGAGAATACTCGTCACAGCGGTTCAAGCAGTATCTGGCGGAGAAAGGAATCAAGAGACTCATCTCCCTTCCCTACGCCCATCAACAGCAGGGTGTAGCAGAAAGGATGAACAGGACTCTGCAGAACACCATGCGCAAACTGTTACGTGGCATGCGGCTACCCAACCACCAGTGGCCCGAGGCAATGGACCACGCCGTGATGCTGCACAACTTGCTTTCTTCGTCGTCACTCCCGAACAACACATCACCGCATCTGCTGTGGACAGGGAAACTGGGCAGCACAAAAATGTTACGAGTCTTCGGCTGCATGGTACAGTACCGACCCCCATCTGCACGAGCCGGCCGATTCTCCCAACGGGCACAGTGGGGACTACACCTGGGCATAAAAAAACATTACAACGCGTGGAAAATCTTCGACATCCACACCAAGGAAACAGTAGCAGCACGTGATGTCATTTTCTACGAACGGCTCACACTGCCAACATACCTTGCCAACCTGGACGAAAATCGAGACCCCACAGGTGGCTTCCGTGGCGATCGAGCCTTCGCTTCGGCAGAAGACGAAGCTGACTGGGACGAGCAGAACGTGGAAGGAGCCTCGGAAGAAGCCGGACCTCTTCCCTACTGCTCAGTGGACGTACCGATGGACGAAGATAACCCTCGCGAAAGCGTCAACGCCGAAACCTACTACCACTTCGCCGACAACGGTTACGTTACACCTGCTGAAGTCAACACCAACGAAGCAGAACGCATAGGGCCCAACTTCACACCTGATCCAGAAGCTGGAGACGAGGCAGTCTATCCCGAGGACACCACACTCCCCCGCTACACACAGAGTGGACTCCAGATACTCGGGCTCGTCACCGCAGTCCACGGCACCGCCATTCCTAAAGAGCCTGCAACGATTCAGCAGGCTCTGGGGGGGGAACACAGGGAAAAATGGCGTGAAGCCATGGACAAGGAGCTGAAAGCGCTAGAAGAACGCAACACCTGGAAAATCGTTCCTATCGGTGTAGCACGAAACAAGACCATTCTCACCGGAAAATGGGTCTTCCGCGTGAAAACGAAAGCAGATGGCACCATCGACAAATTCAAGGCGCGCTGGGTCGTACGCGGCTTCGACCAAGAGCACGGACGCGACTTCACCGAAACCTTTGCTCCGGTCAGCCGACACACCTCACTACGCATTCTCCTCGCAATCGCCGCCATGAAGAAGAAAAAGCTACGACAAATCGACGTCGCAAACGCCTTTCTCTACGCACCTGTTGACGCAGAAATTTTTGTGGAGCTGCCGCACGGCTCCAACACAGATTCCACGCATGTCTGCCAGCTGCTCAAGTCGCTTTACGGGATCAAACAGGCCCCGCGACTATGGCAGCAATACCTGCACGCTCGTCTCATCCGCATCGGCTTCAAGCAACTCCCGCACGACCAAGGCATGTATCGACTCACTAAGAACAACGACTACGTCCTGTTAATCGTCTACGTGGACGATCTCCTCTACATCGGGTCAACCGACAGCATCGCAACCTGGTTCGAAGGGGAGCTGCAGAAAGACCTCACACTTACGGTCTCGTCTACCGTCACACAGTACCTCGGCCTCAACATCCGAGAAGAAGAAGATGCGATCTATCTCAGCGCCGAGAAATACGCCGACACTATCGCTAAACGCTTCGCTCTCACACCAGCCGCCATCTCCACGCCATACCGCTACACGACAGGAACCGAGAAGGGACGATCCACTCTACTCAAACCAGCCGGCATACGCGACTATCAGAGGAAGCTCGGATGCCTCCTCTTCGCAGCCGTCACATGCCGTCCCGACCTCTCATACTCCGCAAGTCAACTCGCCACCTACCTCAAGAAGCCTGAAACAGAACATCTGGCGGAACTTGACCGCGCTCTTCACTACTTCATCAGCACCGCGACGATCGGCCTAACCTACCACAAGAACGCAGCTACACCAACTAAGCTAATCGGCTATGTCGACGCCGATCACGCCGGCGACTCCGACAACAGGCGCTCACGTACCGGCTACGCCTACCGCCTCGAACCTATCGGACCTATTTCCTGGCAGTCGAGCAAGCAGGAGTTAATCGCGCTATCATCAGCTGAGGCAGAATATATCGCACTCTGCTCAGCCACCAAGGAAGGCCTTTATCTCCGCGAGCTGCTGGAAGAAGCAAAGTTAGCTGAGTTACCCAACTTCACCCTGTTCTGCGACAACCAGTCTGCAATTCGCATCGCCAACAAGAACGGCTTCGCGAACAGGACGAAACACATCGCCCTGCGCTACTTCTTCGTGAAGGACGAGATCGAGAAGGGGAGACTTCAGCTGTCATACTGTCCCACGTCCGAGATGGCAGCCGATTATTTGACCAAGAAACTCGGAAAGCAGAAATTCGAGTACTGCATGCTGCTGACTGGACAGAGCCACGTCATCAGCAACGACACTCCAGAAGCGAAGGGGAGTGTTGGAAACAGTGAATCTTAAGCGCTTCAGTCGTGTCGAAACATCGCACCAGAAGCGAAGCAAGCTGTATCGAAACAAACGCGAGTCAACCTTCGGAGGTTGAGAAGTTGCCGGAGGTTACGCGAAAGTCAAAGGTCAAGCGACCTTTGACCTGACAAATACAGCGCGACAGTTAAGGACACACAACTGACTCGTTACAGAGCAGTTGCCCGAGTCGTACTGTATCGAACCGCAACAGCAACAGTAAAGTAGTTACAAACTGCATCCTTTCATATTCCTTGTATTATTATATAATCTTGTACTTCCTTGCTATAATCAATCTACTTTGCCCTCATATACCAGCGCAAGGTGGTTCACAAACTTTGTTAAACGCTTCCGCTATTACAACACTATCCCACCCAGAGTTCTCCCTTGAAAAGATCCTAAGGGGCTATCTCAGCCCAACATCTGCCACATGGCAAATTCCAGTGGGTAACTCCACCGTGGCCGGAATCGCGCACGGTGGTGCGTTGTCACTGTACCAGTCACTTCTTGACTGGTTTGGTCCCTGTGCCTCATGTGAGAACGTGAGTTTCACCTCGGGCCACTTGCAGCGGAAGATTCGCCAGCGCGGCGACAGCGAGATTGTAGGAGGGGGGAAATGTCGCCAGATTCGAAGACAAAGTACATGCGAAATTTCATCTAGGGAGCAATTCTCGCGATATCCTCCCCTAAGGAATTTGACTCGATAACAGCTATAATAGGAATCTATAAGAAAAGGGGGGTGTTATAGAAAATCACCCCCAAAGGTGTCAAACATTATATATGTTGTGTTTGTTTAGGCTACAGTGGGTTAGCCTATAGGGGGTACACAATTCTAGGGTTAGGTACTTGTACTGATTTCACTGTTAGTTCATTCATTCCTTCTCAGTTCTTCTGACATGGTTTCAGAGCAGGTCCTTCGCTAGGACCTAATTTCTCTTCGGGCCCACCACTACCTACTACCTACTAGCGCCCTCGTGCGCCCTACTATCGGAGCGCGTCTTAGCGCCTCCCCCCTTAGCGCCCTCGTGCGCTTCTCCTTTCTTTTTTTTTGCGGCCCCGCTGGCCCCGTCGATAGCGCGCGAGTCTCGCTTAGAGGCCCCGCAGCCCCGTCGCGCCCCGCTTAGAGGCCCCGCGGCCCCGTCGCGCCCCGCTTAGAGGCCCCGCGGCCCCGTCGCGTCCCCCCTTAGCGGCCCCGCCGACCCGTCGACCCCGCCCGCGCCCCGCCTAGCCGCCCCGCGGCCCCGTCGATCCCACTCGCGCCCCACCTTAGAGGCCCCGCGGCCCCGTCCCGCCCTGCCTAACGGCCCCGCTGGCCCGTCGACCCCGCTCGTGCCCCGCCTAGCGGCCCCGCGCCCCCCGTCGAGCCCCGCTTAGAGGCCCCGCGGCCCCGTCGCGTCCCGCTTAGCGGCTCCGCCGGCCCGTCGACCCCGCTTGCGCCCCGTCTAGACGCCCCGCAGGCCCCCAGCCGAGCCGCGCCGCCCGTACCTGAGCCGCGCCGCCCTACCTGAACCGAGCCGCGCCGCCCGTACTGAGCAGCCCCGTCGATACTGCTGCTCCTACTACTGCTCCTACTGCTACTACTGCTGCTACTGCTGCTACTGCTACTGCTACTGCTGCTGCCACTATGGCTAGTCCTCCTGTACTCGCTTTCGATGCTGAGGGCCGCCCAGTGAAGTTCGACACCTGGCTAGATGACCTGCACCTCTTCCTACAGCTCACTGCCAAGGAGGATATCTCACTGTACGACCACGCCCTCGGTCACGCTACTGCCCCTCCTACCACTGCTGACAGCACTCAGCGCTCACAGTGGCAGACTCGTGACGCCCACGCTCGCTTTGCCATTCGCAACTCCCTGCCGCTAGATGAGCGCGAGCACTTTGGCCAGCACAAAACTGCTAAGGACCTGTACACTGCTGTCGTCGCTCGTTACTCCTCACCTGCTTCTGCCGCACTAGGCCGCCTCTCACTCCCCTACCTGTTCCCCGACCTGGCCTCCTTTCACACAGTTGCTGACCTCATCACCCACCTCAAGACTAGTGAGGCCCGCTTCCGCGCTGCTATGCCTGACGAGTTCCTTGCTAGCAACCCCCCCCCGCTCTGGCTCACTCTCTACCACATCGTCACCCGCCTCCCTGACTCTCTGCGCGCAGTCAGGGATCACTTTCTAGCTCGCTGCCCCACTGAGCTCACCATTGCCCTCCTCGAGAAGGAACTACTTGCAGCTGAGGCGAGCATCGTCGCTGTAGGTGCCTCTCGTGGCGAGCCCCGCACCCCCTTCTTTGAGGGGTGTTCCCCTTCCCCCCTTCTCCCCTCTGTCGCCTCTGCTGCTGCTGTCGACCTCCTTGGTGCTGAGAAGGTCGCGACCGCGTCTGCTTCGAGCGGGCGCCGCAGGAACAAAGGGGGCAAGGGTGGAGGTGGCGGCGGGGGAGGCGGGGGTGGAGGCGGTGGGAGTGGAGGAGGGGCTGGAGAGGCTAGTGGCGGCAGTGGGGGTGGTGACGGCAGCGGCGGGGGCGGTGGCAGGGGCGGGGGCGGCAGCGGGGGCGGAGGTGGTCGTGGCAGCGGCAGAGGAGGAGGTGGTCGAGGAGGTGGCGGCGGCGGTGGTGGTCGTGGAGGAGCTGGCGGTGGTCTGAGCCAGCAGCACACTCCGTCGCTCCAGGAGGCCCGTGAGTGGTATTCCCAGCGCCCGGGGGCGCGTGGCTTTAGCTGCACGTACGTCATCCGCACTGGTGACCGCACTGGTCAGACGTGTGGGAGGCCGCACCCCACGCACCGCTGTTTCTCGCGCCTTGACGACGCTTGGCGCGCTCAGTTCCCTGACGGCGGTGAGCTGCCCCGCTGGCTTGATCTGGAGAGGAAGGGAGTTGATATCTGGGCTCTAGACTTTGATGCTATTCTCACTGCCATGTATGCGATGTTTACTAGTGGAGAGGGTGCTCAGTACTTGCGTGTTCCGCCCGACCCGGGCATTCTGACCAGTGAGGCTGCTGCTCTAGGTGCTAGTGAGGCTGCCACTGCAGGTACTCGCGTGTCTGCCACCTCAGGTGATGGTGAGGCTGTCGCTCTAGGTGCTAGTGAGTCTGTCTCCCCTGGTACTGAGTCGACTGAGGCACTGCACACCTTCACCCTGGACTCAGGTGCTTCTCGCTGTTTCTTTCATGACCGCACTGCCCTTGAGCCACTCGCTCGGCCAGTTGCTGTCTCCCTCGCTGACCCCTCTGGGGGTCCGGTCATTGCGACCTCCTCCACTGTTCTTCCCTATCCTGCGGTCCCGTCTGGCACACTGTCTGGTCTCCACCTCCCCTCGTTCTCTACGAACTTGGTGGCGGGCTGTGCGCTCCAGGACGCGGGTGTTCACCAGTTCACCCCTGCCTACAAGCGCGTGACACACTGCACGTGTGCTCGGACGGGCCGTCACCTGGCTACCTTCACTCGGCAGCCGGGGTCGGACCTGTACACACTGACCACTGAGTCCCCTCAGGTAGCTGCGTCCGCGTCTGCGTCAGGTCAGCTGTCGGCCCCCTGCTCGTGTCGCTCTCTGGCGCACGACACCGTCCTCTGGCACCACCGACTTGGCCACCCGTCTGTGCAGCGCCTTCGTGCCATGCACAAACGGCAGCTTGTCTCTGGTCTTCCCAGGGTGCTCCCTCCCCTCCCACCCTCGCCTGCTCCTCCCTGTCTTCCCTGTGTCGAGGGGCGGCAGCGCGCCGCTCCTCACTCCTCCTCCTTTCCCCCGACGACTGCTCCCTTGCAGACGCTCCACCTGGACGTGTGGGGCCCAGCCCGCGTCCGTGGACAGGGTCAGGAGAGGTACTTCCTGATTGTTGTTGACGACTACTCTCGCTACACCACGGTCTTCCCCTTGCGCACCAAGGGTGAGGTCCCTGATGTCTTGATCCCTTGGATCCGCAGAGCTCGTCTTCAGCTCAGCGAGCGTTTCCGCTCGGACTTTCCTGTCCTGCGTTTGCACTCTGACAGAGGTGGTGAGTTCACCTCCGACCTTCTGGCAGCCTACTGTGCCGAGCACGGCATTGAGCAGTCGTTCACGCTTCCGGCCTCTCCACAGCAGAATGGGGTTGCTGAGCGCCGCATTGGCTTGGTCATGGAGGTCGCTCGTACCTCCCTGATCCATGCGGCTGCTCCCCACTTTCTGTGGCCGTTTGCGGTCCGATACGCTGCGCATCAGCTCAACCTCTGGCCCCGTGTCTCCTTCCGGAGACTTCTCTGACACTGCGTTGGACGGGAGAGGTTGGCGATGCGTCGCGTTTCCGGGTCTGGGGATCCCGAGCTTTTGTTCGCGACACGTCCGCGGACAAGCTCTCCCGTCGCGCTGTTCCTTGTGTCTTCCTTGGCTTTGTCCCGGACGCCCCTGGTTGGCAGTTTTACCACGTCACCTCGCGCCGGGTTCTGCCCTCTCAGGACGTCACTTTTGACGAGTCCGTCCCCTACTACCGCCTCTTCCCCTACCGCACTGCCCCGCTCCCTCCCCCGCCTCTCTTCCTCGCGCCAGGTGCTGCTGTGGTAGACCCCCTCCCCCCTCAGGGTGCCGCTCCCTCAGGTGTGTCCCAGGTAGACCCGGTTGAGCCTGTCGAGGTAGCTGTCGACTCTCGTCCTGCTAGGGGTACTGAGCCTGAGCGTGAGGAGCCTGGCGGTGCTGAGTCTGGGGGTGCGGAGCCTTGGGGTGCTGAGCCTGGGGGTGCGGAGCCTGGGGGTACTGAGCCTGGAGGTGCGGAGCCTGGGGGTGCTGAGCCTGGAGGTGCTGAGTCTGGGGGTGCTGAGTCTGGGGGTGCTGAGCCTGAGAGTGCTACACCTGGAGGAGCCCTCTCCTCACAGCAGCTGCAGGAGAGGTACCTACAGTACTGCAGCCTCCGGAGAGGTGCTGCTGGAGCTGGCACCAGTGCTTCCCCTCCTACCCGGGAGCTCCCCTCCCTTCAGCAGATCCGAGAGTGGTACACGCGGCGCTGCAGTCTTCGGAGTGGCGCTCCTGGTGCTGCGGACCCTGGAGTTGGAGCTGCTGCTGGTGCTGAGGACCCGGGCGGTGGAGCTACTGCTGGTGCTGAGGACCCGGCCGCTGGAGTTGGACCTGCTGCTGGTGCTGAGGACCCGGACGTTGGAGCTGCTGCTGGTACTGAGGACCCGGCCGTTGGAGTTACTACTGGTGCTGAGGACCCGGGCGTTGGCGCTGCTGCTGGTGCTGAGGACCCTTGAGTTGGAGCTACTACTGGTGCTGAGGACCCGGGCGTTGGAGCTGCTGCTGGTACTGAGGACCCGGCCGTTGGAGTTACTACTGATGCCGAGGACCCGGGTGTTGGCGCTGCTGCTGGTGCTGCGGACCCTGGAGTTGGAGCTACTGCTGGTGCTGAGGACCCGGGCGTTGGAGCTGCTGCTGGTACTGAGGACCCTGACGCTGGTGTCTCTACTGGTTCTGGAGACGCTGCGCGGCCGCGACCGTACTTTGTACCGCTCCTTCAGCAGGTTCTTGGTCAGACTCCTCCTCCTTGTCCTCCTTCCTCCTTAGAGTGTCCTCCGCCGCCAGTCCCGTCGCAGTCACAGTTCCCGCCTGCCTCGCCTCTTCCTGGTCCCTCTCCTTACACTGGTCCCACAGGAGGTCTTACCGAGCGTCGTGAGCCTGAGTCTCGTCCTGCGTCGCCTGTTCGCACCGCTCTCACTGGTCGTCGTGTCCCACGTGAGCGTCCCCCTCCTGTCCCTGGCACTCACTACATGACTCTGCGTCCCTCCACTGCTCCTCAGCGTGTCCCACTGCCGTCTCCTCCTGCGTCCTCTCTACCTACTCTTCCTGACCCGGAGTCTGACTCCCGTCGTGCTGCCAGTCCCACTGTTACGCGTCTCCTCGCCACTGTTGTCACTGACCCTACCTTTGAGTCCTCTGCTGCGTCTGCTCTGGTCGCTGAGTTGGTTGACTTTGCTACCCGGTGTCGTCTAGACTACGCCGCTAGCCTTGTTGCTGAGTCTGAGTCTGTATGTCCTCCGTCCGTCGGGGGTGAGTGTGCTCTTGGCACGGACGTCCTTGAGGACAGACAGGAGGAGTTCCAGTGCTTTGCTGCTGCTTTGCCCCATCTCGTGTCCATGCTAGTTGCCCCTGAGGGAGACCCGGATGCACCAGACATCCCGACCCCGCGCTCTTACGCTGAGGCGATGGCGGGTCCCTACTCCTCTCAGTGGCAGACAGCCATGGACACAGAGATGGCTTCCTGGAAGTCCACAGGCACCTACGTCGACGAGGTTCCCCCACCTGGGGCGAACATCGTCAGTGGCATGTGGATTTTCAGGGTGAAGCGGCCGCCGGGTTCTCCTCCTGTCTTCAAGGCGCGCTATGTTGCTCGAGGCTTCAGTCAGCGAGAGGGAGTAGACTTCTTCCAGACCTTCTCCCCCACCCCGAAGATGACTACTCTTCGGGTGCTGCTGCACATAGCCGCTCAGCGCGACTACGAGCTTCACTCACTTGACTTCAGCACTGCTTTCTTGCAGGGCAGCCTGCACGAGGAGATCTGGCTGCGCCGCCCTCCTGGCTTCACTGGGTCGTTTCCTCCTGGTACCCAGTGGAGGCTCCAGCGGCCGGTCTACGGTCTCCGACAGGCTCCACGTGAGTGGCACGACACACTGAGGACGACACTTGCGGCACTTGGGTTCGCACCTTCTACTGCTGACCCGTCGCTGTTTCTGCGCACCGACACTTCGCTGCCGCCGTTCTACATCCTCGTGTACGTCGACGACTTGGTCTTTGCCACTGCTGACACTGAGGCTCTCGCCCACGTGAAGTTGGAGCTGCAGAGGAGACACACGTGCACAGACCTGGGTGAACTGACAAGCTATCTTGGCTTGCGGATCACCCGGGACAGAGCACGGCGCACCATCACCTTGACTCAGTCACACATGGTGCAGCAGATCCTTCAGCGCTTCCGCTTCACGTACTCCTCGCCTCAGTCTACTCCTCTGCCTACCGGTCACTCGCTCTCAGCTCTGCCTTCGGATGAGTCCGTAGAGCCGAGTGGCCCGTATCCAGAGCTTGTGGGCTGCCTCATGTACCTGATGACCTGCACTCGACCTGACCTTGCATACCCTCTTAGCATCCTTGCACGCTATGTCGCTCCTGGCCGTCACCGGAAGGAGCACATGGATGCTGCTAAGAGGGTGTTGCGTTACTTGTGCAGTACGTCGGGCATGGGGCTAGTGCTTGGAGGGCGAGACCGAGTTGTACTCACTGGACACTCAGACGCTTCTTGGGCGGACGACCAGGCTACTCAGCGGTCGTCTCAGGGTTACACCTTCAGCCTTGGCTCCGGCTCAGTTTCTTGGCGTTCTACACGCTCTTCTTCTGTTCTCAGCTCCAGTTGTGAGGCTGAGATCTACGCCACAGCCATGGCGGCCCAGGAGCTACGCTGGCTGACCTACCTGCTGACCGACTTGGGAGAGCGGCCTCGTTCTCCTCCAGTGCTGTACGTCGACAACAAGGCTGCCATTGCCTTGTGTGAGGAGCACAGACTGGAGCACAGAACGAAGCACATCGCCCTGCGGTACTTCCTTGCTCGAGAGTTGCAGCAGCGCGGTCAGCTTTGTCTGCGTTACGTGGCCACTGAGGCCAACACTGCTGATGTGTTCACCAAGGCGCTTCAGCCTTGTGACCATCAGCGCTTTTGCACTCTGCTAGGCCTTGTGCCTACTGGACCTCACTTGCTTACTTCTTGACTCTGTTTGTACTGTGATCTCTATATATATACCTGCATGTTTACTCTTGCTAGGTTGTGATCATTGTACCTCTTGCTCTATTATAAACCTGCATGTGAACTGGTCTTGTGACCACTTGCTTGTGCTCGGAATTTGTGTGGAATCCTTGAGATCCACCCTGAGCCTGTTGTGTCCTGCTTTGCCTTGACCGGTCTTGTGACCCCTAGTTCTCCCCCACTTCGCCTATGGGGGTGTGTCAAACATTATATATGTTGTGTTTGTTTAGGCTACAGTGGGTTAGCCTATAGGGGGTACACAATTCTAGGGTTAGGTACTTGTACTGATTTCACTGTTAGTTCATTCATTCCTGCTCAGTTCTTCTGACAAAAGGGGGGGTATAGTACTAACAGGGTCAAATATAACACCCACCCCGCACAAGCTACCCGGGGGTGTACAATGACGGGGGGGTGTTTTATCCGGGAGAATACGGTATGAGTGTGTAGTTTGACACATCCCCAAGGCTAGGTAAGGGGCATTGCCAAAAAGAAAAGAGACATATTAGGGTGGCACTTATAAAAGGGTGACGACGCTTATACCCGGTCCTCAATCATAAGCCCACCCCTAACAGCTTACGGATTATAAGCGTCATCCTCTCTTTTTTCCTATAATACCGTCATACCCCGGATATAAGCGCCACCCTCGGATAAGCGCCTGGCGCTTTTAATTGGCGCATGGCGCTTATATCCGCTGCTAGATTATAAGCGCACCCCCTGAAATAACCTGTTTTATTATAAGCACACGTAAACTTTAATTCTTGAAATGTGTTCAAAACCCTGTAACGAATTTTACTTTAGCAGGCGGATGTCTCCAGATTCGGTTCCCTTCACATTCGGACCCTGCACTGGATGCGGGTCCAGTCAGCAGGAGCTGTCAGGAGCTGTCAGAAGCTGTCAGAAGCTGTCAGATTTGGTGTGCGCGCGAGAATTTCACAGACGACCCCATGTAACTCAGACTCGATTGAAAATGCAAGCACGAGTTCTACAGCTTGGTGTTAAAAAATGTATCGACTATATATGTCGTTTTATAAACGCCGGCGCTTATAAATTTACTCGATTATAAGCCCACCCCCCTAAAAAAAACCTGTTTTATTATTGCCCCCCATGGGGGTATATCCGGGGTATGACGGTATTACTGAAATCTTTGTAACCAAACTCACTTTTGCATCCATTGACCGTTGAATTTCGGACCCTTCACCCTCGCTCGGCTCACTGCCAGCGTGTCTAGTCATTTTTTTGTTTTTATTAAGGTCGTAAAACAGACAACACAGAGGCTAAACAAGGTAATAAACCAGCGCCAAAGGCCTACGCTAAAACATCGTTTACTTAGCCGAACTCAGTCCGCAGGTAAGGGGAAGTGTCCTACATGCTCTGTGTTGGTGTAGAATTTTCCCTGCAGGCAAGTTACGGGGGCTGGTAAGCGTTGTTGGGGAGCCAGGACGCACGCAGTTCCGGGTGTAATTGAGGGGTACCGTTGTGTAGAAACTGGAGCAATTTGTGGATGCTGGCAGCTTTAACTCAGTTGCCAGTGGTGTGTTTTCGCTTATTGGGCGTTTTGTTTCGGCGATGAAAGTACAGTTTGAAGGCGGATAGAAAGAGGGCCAAGATGCGGTGTAGTGTTTCCAAAGTGGAGTGAGAGAAGTTGTCATACATTTTGCGACAGCACTACAGTCACACCACTCCCTGCACCTGTTGCAGTCTCTCTGGCTGACCCCTCAGGGGGCCCAGTCCTTGCACGTTCCTCCACTGTTCTTCCGTGTCCGGCGGTTCCGTCTGGCTCACTGACAGGCCTTCACCTCCCCTCGTTCTCTACGAACTTGGTGAGTAACGCCGTCCTTCAGGATGCTTGGGTTGATACCTTTACCCCTGGAGGACAGCGTGTGGCAATCTGCACGTGTGCACGGACGGGCCGTCACCTGGCCACGTTCACCCATCGGCCTGGGTCGAGCCTGTACACACTGACTACTGAGCCTCCCCAGGTAGCTGCGTCTGGTCAGGTGTCCGCGTCCGGTCAAGTAGCAGCCCCCTGCTCGTGTCGCCACCTCTCACACCAGACTGTCCTCTGGCACCACCGCCTTGGTCACCCATCCCTTCCACGACTCCGTAGCATGCACTCCCGCCTCCTTGTCTCTGGCCTTCCCAGGTCTCTGCCCCCCCTCCCGCGCTCGCCTGCCCCGCCCTGCCTTCCTTGCGTCGAGGGGCGGCAGCGCGCCGCTCCTCACTCCTCCTCGTTCCCTCCTACAGAGGCTCCCCTGTAGACTCTCCACATGAACGTGTGGGGCCCAGCCCGCGTCCAGAGACAGGGCCGCGAGTGGTATTTCCTGCTGGTTGTCTACGATTACACGCGTTACACCACGGTCTTCCCCTTGCGCAGCAAAAGGGAGGTCCCTGATGTCTTCGTCCCTTGGATCTGCACTGTCCGTCTCCAGCTCCGCGAGCGGTTCCACACGGACCTTCCTGTCCTGCGTCTGCACTCTGACAGAGGTGGTGAGTTCTCATCCTACCAATGCGAGACTTCTGTCAAGAGGAGGGCATCAAGCAGTCGTTCACGCTTCTGGCCTCCCCGCAGCAGAATGGGGTTGCTGAGCACCGCATTGGCTTAGTCATGGAGGTCGCTCGTACCTCCATGATCCATGCGGCCGCTCCCCATTTTCTGTGGCCGTTTGCGATCTGCTGCGCTGCGCATCAGCTCAACCTCTGGCCCCGTGTCTCCTTGCCGGAGACCTCTCCCACACTGCGTTGGACGGGGAAGGTTGGCGATGCGTCGGTGTTCCGGGTCTGGGGCTCTCGTGCCTTTGTCCGCGATACCTCCGCGGACAAGCTCTCCTTCTTCGCCATTCCCTGTGTCTTCCTTGGTTTTCCCCCTGACGCGCCTGGCTGGCAGTTTTACCACCCCACCTCGCGTCGTGTTCTGTCCTCCCAGGACGTCACGTTTGACGAGTCGGTTCCCTTTTACCGTCTCTTCCCCTACCGCACTGCCCCTCCCCTCCCCCCCCCCCCCCCCCCCCCCCCCCCCCCCCCCTTTGCCGCTCTTCCTCGCTCCAGGTCCCCCTCCGGTAGACCCCCTCCCCCCTCAGGGTCCTGCCCCCTCAGGTGCATCTCAGGTAGACCCCTTCCCTTGGTTGAGCCTGTCAAGGTCACTGGTGACTCTGGTGCTGCTGGGGGTGCTGAGCCTGCGGGTGCTGAGCCTGAGCGTGCGGAGCCTGGGGGTGCTGAGCCTGAGCATGCGGAGCCTGGGGGTGCTGAGCCTGTGGGTGCGGAGCCTGAGCGTGTGGAGCCTGGGGGTGCTGAGCCTGAGCGTGCGGAGCCTGGGGGTGCTGAGCCTGCGGGTGCGGAGCCTGGGGGTGCTGAGTCTGGGGGTGCTGCGCCTAGGGGTATTGCTTCTCCACTCCGGGAGCCTCTCTCGCCGCGCGAGTGGTACGCTCACAAACTCCGCCTTCGGAGTGTCGCTGCTGGAGCTGGAGGCCCTGGAGCTGCTAGTCCTGGAGGTGCTGGAGGTACTGCTGGAGGTGCTGGAGGTACTGGAGGAGCTGGAGCTGTTAGTCCTGGAGGTGCTCGCACTTGAGGTACTGGAGCTGCCGGGGCTGGTGGTGCTGCCGGTACTGGTGGTGCTGGCACTGCTGGTCCCGGAGGTGCTCGTACTGGAGGTGCTGGAGGTGCTCTCTCACCACAGCAGCTGCGCGAGTGGTACGTTCAGTGTTGCCGCCTTTGGAGTGGCGCTGCCGGAGCTGGGGTCGCTGCGGCTTGAGACGCTGGAGCTGGAGGCGGCGGAGCTAGAGACGCTGGGGCTGGCGGCCCTAGAGCTGGAGCTGCTAGTCCTGGAGGTGCTAGTACTGGAGGTACTGGAGCTACCGGAGCTGGTGGTGCTGCTGGTGCTAGAGGTGCTGGTGGTACTGGCACTGCTGGTCCCGGAGGTGCTTGTCCTGAAGGTGCTGGAGTTGCCGGAGCTGGTGGTGCTGCAGGTTCTGGAGCTGGAGGCGCTGGCGCTGGAGGCGCTGGAGCTGGAGGCGCTGGAGCTGGAGGTACTGGAGCTGGAGGCGCTGGAGCTAGAGGCTCTAGCGCTGGAGGTTTTGGAGCTGCTGGAGGCGCTGGAGCTGCTGGTACTCGTACTGGAGGTGCTGGTGCTGGTGGTACTGGTGCTGGTGGTACTGCACAGCCGCGACTGTTCTTCGCTCCGCCGTCACCGTCGTCTCTGCCACCGCCTGACTCGGAACTTCGCCAGGTTCTTAGCCTTCCGTCTTCTACTGGCCTCCCGTTACAGCCAGGCTCCCCACTGCCTGCTCCTTCTCCTTACACTAAGCAGACAGACTCGCTTACAGAGCGTCGTGAGCCTGCGTCTCGTCCCGCGTCGCCTGTTTGCGCTGTTCGCACTGGTCGTCGTGTTCCTCGTCAGCGTCCTCCTCCTGTCCCTGGCACTCACACTATGACACTTCGTCCTTCCTCTGTTCCACAGCTTCTCCCTCTGTTTTCTCCTCCTGAGTCCTCTCTTTCGCAAGTTCTAGACCCTGAGTCTGACCTGGTTCGTGCTGCCAGCCCTACTGTCACGCGTCTCCTAGCCACTGTTGTCACTGACCCTTCGTTTGAGTCCACTGCTGCGTCTACCTTAGTCGCTGAGCTTGTTGACTTTGCTGCTGCTTGTCGTCTCGACTACGCCGCTAGTCTTGTTGCTGAGTCTGAGTCTGTCTGTCCTCCGTCCGTCGGGGGTGAGTGTGCTCTTGCCACGGACGTCCTTGAGGACAGGCAGGAGGACTTTAGGTGTCTTGCAGCTGCTGTACCTCATCTCGTGGCCATGCTGCTTGCACCTGAGGGAAACCAGGATGCACTGGACATCCCGACCCCGCGCTCTTACGCAGAGGCGATTACGGGTCCCTACTCCTCTTAGTGGCAGGCAGCCATGGATGCAGAGATGGCATCCTGGAAGTCCACAGGCACTTACGTCGACGCAGTTTCCCCTCCTAGGACGAA